CCCCCCCCCCCCCCCCCCCCCCCCCCCCCCCCCCCCACACACACACACACTCACCCATAACTGTGTCAAGCCAGCAGGGCAGTCATGCTTCGCTTGATATTGTCTACTTCATCTTTTTGTTTATATAGATCTTTGTCACACACACACACAGTCGCACGTATGCTCACATATGCTCACTTTACTCCAGACATACTGATGTAACTCTCTCTCCTCCTTAAAACCTCTTTTTATCTCTCCTCATTCACACATACACTCTTACAGACATGCACACACACACACACACACACACACACACACACAATTTTCTCCCAGCCAAAAGAGGCACGGCGAGGAACAACAAGGAGTAAATCAACTTTATACCTCGTGGTTTTGAAAAGCAGCAAGTGTACGCAGACAAGGACAGGGTTTACGATGGAGGGATGATGTGGAGGGGGAAATAAAACACGGAGGAAAGAAGAGAGAGAAAAAGTCAGACACAAAAACGTTATGCTGGGAAAAAAGGTTTTACAATCTGAAACGATGTATAAAACACGTATAAAAAGATTGCTTCTCACTTGTCAATCTGCTCCCAATACACAACTGCTGCCGACTCAAGGTGCTTTGCTGTTTCCAGTATGTATAATCTTACAACATTACAGTAGTAAAGAGAAATGGGATCATTCAGACAAACTCAGTTTGCATTGCTTCTCCTGTCTATTGGTGATTTTCACTCTTTGAATGAGACTGTGATCACTGTTCATCACAGGAGCTGGGACCTTTGCAGATGTCAGATTAAAGGTGTTATTTAGGGAACGCAGACAGTTTAACATGTCAAAGCGCAAGCGTACTCGATGAAGTTAATGATGGCTGCATCGTCCATCGTTAACAGAGCCATCGTTAATGTTATTAGGTACACCTGTGCGTTTCCCGCTATGACAAGTCAAAATATCTGCAGCGAAAAGGTTGATTAGTAAAAATACAACAGACAAGACCATGTAATGGGGTCTAAACCTTTATGATGAAGGATTTGACAACTATTACAATGTAGCACACGGTGGTCTGCACGCAATTCAGTTCCAGAGGAGGTAGCAGCTGTTTTATTGGTATTCAAAATCAAATAACTAAAGAGCTAGCCAAGGAGACGCACTAATTGTGAGTCGCAGCGCAAAAACTCCAAAGCTTTATTTAAAAACAATCGTAAACTTAAACAAACTCCGGTCATTTGAATAAAAACGTATTCATGCCAACAGCATGATCTCTCCCACTAGGTCCGTCTGAATGCACTTTGATCTTTTTCAAAGCAGCTGTCTCTCAGGGGCCCTATTTGATTGATTGAGGCTGAGTGTCCATGTAGCGTTTTTGTTTTTTTATTTCAGAATGCCTGCGTCATGGTTCAATTACTGATGAGGAGAGAAAAATCGCTGCAACCAGCGCTACATGGACACTCCTAAACTTTGAAGCTACCCAACATGAGCACTCTGACACATTCTGCCTGAATGAACCCCAATATAATGAACGCTCATTTACATTTACGCTTGCTCCCCTCAAACTGTTGATGAAGGTAGACAGACGGACGGACGGACGGACAGATAGATATAATTTGGAGACGTGATTAGAGATGTGGAAAGAAGAGCAGCTCTCTGCTGTCGCTGTGATATACAGAAGATGGCGAGGTGAGGGGATGTGAGGAATGAATGAAGAGGAGAGTCAAGGCACTATAATAGTTTGAGTCCTAATCAGACTGATACGATATGACAACCTCAGAGCCTTAGAGGCAACATAACTATTCTCTGGCTGTGTCTTTCTCCCTCTCACACACACACACATACACACACACACACACACACACACCAATATGCTGGTCATTTATGCTGAGGAGTTGGCTGTCAGGCCATGTTCATACATGCACTTCAAAAAACGTTGCTGCCTCTGCAACTCAGAAATTTATAGCTGTGAGGGGAAAATAGATAATTGAACACTCCAGTAAATAACTCTCCCAAGACCTGAGCAAATTATTTAGTTTGCCATTACGTGGCAAGTGATTGGCTATAAGTTACATAACGGTGAACAAAGCTATCAAAGACTACATCACTGTATGCTCTAACTTTATTTTGCAGCTGCCTTTAACAATGGCTTCAACTTTGCAGGACTGCGGTACACCTCATTGTGGAAATTAGTTGTTTTTTTTATGCAATAGGGGAGTGCTGAGTCTCCTTTGCACCACAAAGAATGACTTGCCGTGTGCTCCCGCATAGCTCAGTCGTTGCCACAAAGCCTCATCTGACCACAAGCAGAGACTCATTCATGTCTGTTTGATACCTGTTGCTGATGTTCTACCTGCTGATTCAACCTACAATTCATGTTTCATGTCATTAAGCCTTTTAACGCTTAGTGAGTAAACAATCTTTTAACATTAAATTAAGCTGCTCAGCTTGTGAGTTGCTGGGGGTCCAACATGTTGGGCATGCATCGTTAAGTGGGTTCAGTTTTATCAGGCTCTCATTGAGCTATCTGGTTTTAACTGTCAGTGTTGGTCTGAAAACACAGATAATATCAATGATATGAATTATTTAAAGTATCTGGCACAATGCCCTTAATTGTTAGGGTTGGTGACACTGGGTGGGACTGTCTACTGTCACTCCTTACACCTTTCATTTTTACGCAGGACCGTTCTTTCCCTGTTCACTGTCACTTCTGACGCTATTATACGTCTGTGTTGTTGTCAGCGGGGTTCTTTTTTTCTGTCATTCGTGAAGTAGTGTGTTTGATGATTTTCATTGTTCATAACACACATTTAAAGTACCTCAGTGTTCTCAGTGACCTGGCTCGCTTTCCCCCTTTCTTCTTTGCTGCGTTTACATCATCCCTCAGCTCCCTGTTTACCCTCAACTCCTGGCAGATTCATCTCTCTTCCATATATTTACACCCTCTTTTATTCCACTTCATTACTCGCCATAACTTCTTCTCTGTCTGTGTCCCTCCCCTCTCTCACTGACAGTCAAAGAAATATAGCTCCATGATGGCTTGTAGATTTTAAGTGCTGCGCGACAGGTGCGGTGGTGAAGTATTGTATGAAAGCAGGTGTATGAGCGCACTATCGTGTACATTGCATATTTGTGTTGGCTTGACATTTATAGCTTTAGTGATTGGAGATTTTATCCTGTAGCCATGTAATGTTTCCCCCAGTTGGGGGTCTTTGTATTACCCACACCTCAGCATATTACACTATTATAAGTCAACATTATAGCCGGGCCACACTCGCATACAGATAGGGATCTACACCTGCAGACTCATATAGTATGTGTATGTGTACAGAGTAGTACAATGCATATGCACAGTAAATAATCGGTCCTAATTGTTTTTTTGTGTGGGCGTGCACGCGCATGTCTGCTCTATATGTGATTTAATGTGTACCACAGAGTGCTTTTGCCAACAATTGATTCTCCTATTCCTCCTGTTTAATTCTCTCTTGCTTTGCTGGCATGCTCAGCGCTTGCTGTTACATAAATAAATAGCTTAGGTAAAGCTTTTCTTAATACCTCAGAACAACTCTATTTTTTTATATCCTTCCCCGTTTTTTAGCTGTTGCTTGAAGCGGTCGCTGTTTTTAATTAAAGCTGACACTGTTGGTGAAAAGTTGAACATGTTCTACAAGTTCAAGTTTGCTTGATTGATTATTTCATTCTTTGTTTTTCATCCTCGAAATTAAACTCCATAAAGTGTGAGCAATGTAGTTACTCGCCTGTGGCGCAAGTTCTGTATTACTCTTTCCTGTTTTTGCTAGTTCTGATGTTTTTTCATACTAATCTATCGGTTATATCATATTTGTAAGTGGTGATAACTTGAATGCCCTCCTTGCTTCTGTTTCCAGAATAAGGTGAATCCTGTCAATGTGACTCCATCCATTCAAGCTGTGGACCAAGACAGAAACATACAACCTCCCTCGGACAGGCCAGGGATTCTATACTCCTTCCTCATTGGTAGGTTTACATTGTGTTGGCTTTAGATTGGTTATCACTAGTATTGGGCAATAAGGCAACAAATATGGCCAGACAATATACATTTCTGTGCCACCGACAGATTTACCATTGTAGGCTACAGTGTTGAAAATCAAATTATTAGAATTTGAATGTTTTTAAAGCAAAGAAACAAATCCAAGCTTCTCCAAGATCTGTGATGTGAAAAAGAAACCACTTGATAGACAACTTAAATGTTCAAAGATGATTTTATGGTATTCATCAGACAAATTGGTAATTGCTCTATACAACAAACTTATTTCAAAGAACATACTGTTGCAAAGTTGCTTGATTGGTGGACAAAGGAGCATACCTCAAGAAGAAGATATAGGCGCTCACACAAACATCCGTAACCGCAGATATCTGGGAAATGATGCTGCCTTGTGCACAAGTGCTTGTGCTGCTGCTCATCTCACCAAAACTTGATTTCCCCACTGAGCAATGCAGCATTCTAAAGTGCCACATATGTATTGTGTATACGTGTGTTTGTGCATTCCCACCTGTGGAGAGCAGAGATGAGAAAACTGGGAGCACTAACCATCCTGCTCTCCCCTTCTCCCCATCTCCTCCTTTCCTGTATATTTTATACTTCCCCCCAGGCAAACGTATATTGATTCTTAAACCAATTACTGATGTCTCTCCCTGTCTCATACACAAACTATACCCAATGTTTGTATATTCAGTTTTTGCTCAGTTCTTAGTCCTATTATCTGCTCTCTCTCTCTCTCTTAGGCAAACCAGAGTCCTATGCAGAATATTTCAGCTTGAACGGCACCACAGCGGAGCTCCTGATACTAAAGCCCATTGATAGAGAACTCTACCGCAGATTTGATCTGGTTATCAAGGTGAGAAACACTAGGACTGCAAAAAGGGGAGGCTTAACTTGATTTTCGCCCAGCATGTTTCCAATGGAAACAGCACCCTCCCCCCCTCAATGTGCAGTGCCTTTTTTGTTTATTGCACTTAACCCCGAAATATACATCAAGCTGTTGATCATCAAATCTGTACTCTTATGTAAAGACCAGCTGCTCCTCCTCAATTTATTTATTAGGGGCTTCCTGGTTTCTGTCAATTAAAAATAGTTTACCAAGAACATATTAGGTGCCAGTAATTGTGAAGCATTAGTACTATCCCATGCTGTGTGAAGGTGTTTTCTGTCTTAATTAGGCTGGTAATTGAATTACACCACCAAGCATACATCTTGTTTGGCTCAACTGAAGTTTAAAATGCTAATATTCCTCTATAGAATGTTTTTGCTTAAGTTAAAGGTGTGCGTATAAGAATGTAGGGATGTTGTTTGTAAAATGCATTCGGTGTACTTTTGGGATGGTAAAGCTGTTTGATCCCACATGAACTAATGAATGAGGGTAAGAAGGAGGAAGAAACTTGAGGGAGCAAGCTGGCAACAACCATGAGATGTAGATGAGAATGGCGACCAGAAATAATATGCAAACAGAATAGAAAACGCAGAGGACAGTACAGATAAACAAACAGAAAAACACACAGGTACACAGGCAATCAAACCGTTGTATAGTCATGTGCTTTAGATTTTAGATTTCAATCAACTTTAAATCGCTGAGTTTTTCCTTAAGCCCCATAGAGACAGGGTTAACATTACAGGGGGAGGTTGGGAATGAACACCGTGTTCCAAAATAATTTAACTCGTCGTTCCGTATGGCATTTTTAACCATCGGGAAATTACAGGATATGGTCTGTAATAGACTTTCCACACAAGGAGAAAGCCAAAAGCCTTCCCAAGGGGGAGTGAGAGAGTTGAAGGGGAGATGTGAGACAAAGAAACTGTGTGAGGTGAATCTGATTCATAACTTTTAATCATAAGACGTAGACTGGGCTTTTCTGGCTCAACTTTGCCTAATTCCAAGGTGCATGGAGAAGGGAATATGTCTGAAAGGTCAAATCATTTGTAGTATATAGAACAACTTATTTGTTAAGATCAGCACATGTCAGCTTGTGGCCTGCGTCAGGGTCATCATGAAACAAACAAACAACATTTTAAATTGTGTAGTTATAAAGCAGAAAGGGGTAGTAAAAAAAAAAAAAGGTGCTTGAAGGTGAAGCTTTGCAGCCAAAATGAACCGTTATTTTCTTCCTCCACTTTAGGCAGAGCAGGACAATGGCCACCCTTTGCCAGCTTTTGCCAACCTCCAAATCGAAGTTCTGGATGAAAACAACCAGGCACCCTACTTCCTGGAGACCAGTTACCATGGCTACGTTAGTGAAGCATCACCAGTGGGATCCACCATAGCGACCGCGTCCAGCCTGTCTGCACCGCTGGCCATCGTTGCTCTGGATAACGATGTGGAGGAGGTGAGGATAAAAGCATGAAGAGCTGTCGTTGACTAAAGACATCAAAATCCTTATAATACTCGTGTTTTGACAAAATAAATTATCACACTTATGTGATATGTAACATTGTTTATAGCATTAATATGCATTTGTTGCATCTACTTCCTTTGTAGCTGATATCCAATGAGATGCCTGTAGGTGTCAGCTGAGGTTGTTCTTCATATCTTTACCTCCTTTTGCTGAGTTCTTTGAAGCTTCAACTGGTTGTGCCTTTGGCAACAAAAACTAGTATAAATTGATTTGCTCTTAATTCCAATGCCTGTTTCCCAATGTTTTATGGCAACTTGTCAATAATTCGCTTTAGTTTGCATTCAAGACATGCCATGGTGTAATTTGCCAGATGGCAAATTGACCGTTCGCTCGGCCCCTGCTGAGCTCTCTCTTGCCGCGTGGCACATACGCCGTTTACGGCGATAATACTGCCAGATTTACTCCTCAAAATGTTTTAAACAACGTGCCCTTGATTTTGGAATGATGTATTTGAAAAACGTGTTATTTCTAACAGGAGTCTTGTCGAGTTTGCCAGCTGAAATAAAAAGGAACTGGCTGTTAGCCGTCATAACATTAACAGCTTATGTTAGAGCAGGCAAACATGGTGTTTATTCCATTCCTTCAGCTTTTGCTCTTTTGCTGTTGATTTTGTAAAGCAAAATAGATAGATCAATATATGAATCAAAATGACACAACCCTCCAAACTCTTTAGGTCTGCCATACCTTGTTACAATTGCAAAGCTATGATTGGACAGTTGCTGTTTGAAGCGGGGTATAGCCAACGGTCATTTGTTATCATATATACCGTACTGCTATACCCTTATATCCTGGCACTTTGGAACTTTACTCAAGGTCTCAGGCGTGCTAACAGAAGTAAACATGCTAATTCCTGTCTCCAACACAATTTAATCACCATGTAAACAAACCCCAGCATGGTGACAGTGTTCAAACAGTAGGAACTCCTGGAATGATTGAACCATTGAGGTGTCCATTTCAGCCCTTCTTTGTGTCCTGCTTGCGCCTGTGTGGAGTGCCCTATCTAATGTCTCTGAGAATCTGGATGGTAAAACCATTTCCCTCTTAAATTGCCTCTCAATGATAATGTAAGAACTTACAGTGCTGCAGCATTGTTATCGCCGCTGCTCCCAAGAGCTTAGTTTGTTTAAGATGTAGCATAGGCGTTTTGACAAAAACAAGCTTTGGGTCATTGCCTTCTAAAAGACCCCCACAGCAGGGAATGAGCTTAGTGGGGATCATGTGTGTGTTTCAGTGTGTTCCTGAGACTCTGTGTCTGTGTGTGGAGATTGATATACATCGACTTATTTTAAATATTGCTAACCCTGGTCTTTCCTCCAGCATTAAGTACAAACAATGATGATTAGTCCTAATTGCTTTTATGTACCATCCGTCATTTTTATTTAGGTGTGTGCATACGACTGCGTGTGTGTGTTTATTTATGACTCAATATCCACACTGGCTACATCGACAATATTATCAGCCCCCCTACCCTGCTGAGCCAGCCTTATCTGGAATAAGAGCTCACACACACACATACACACACTCTCATACACATACATACAGTATACAGCATACACATACAGAGGAGGGGACTGTGTGGGGAATGTCAGAGGAGGACTTGGATGGGGATTGCCTCTCCATCACAGAGTTTAAAACACACACACACACACACACCCACACACAGCCCTCTTAGGAGAATTTTTATGTCGAGCAAACCTTGGAGATGTTTTTCATTCACCCTCTCCTGTCTAAGCACTTCTTTGCTCTCAGCTGTTTTGGAAGCATTTTAATTTGTTTTTCTCCACTCCGGTTTAACTTCAATTTGGAAAATACAATAATTTCTCAAAGAGAGAGAGAGAAATCATTACTGCTTTCCTAAAATTTGTGTCACTTTTGCCAGTGCTCTTTTGATTATTCACTGTATATTCATCAAGCATCCAATTTCCTACAATGTCAGCGTATTCCTTTAATTGAACCAATTAAGGTGCTTAGCAGCCATCATTGTATCGCTGTGGTTGTATTGGGCAGCTGTCGGGTGTAAATGTGCTATAGCTTTATGTGCTCTGCTAGCAATGCAGTGTTTTAACAGTACCATTCCTCAGTTAAAAAGGAAAATCTATAATGGTTTTAATGTCTTCTCTGTTCCCCTCAACATCTTTCATTCTATCCAACAGACCAGGGACCCTCAACTCCAGCTCTCATTGGACAGCTATGCCAATGTTTTCTCTGTGTCTGCTACTGGAATCAGACGATATCTCACCCTGGTGCAGCCGCTGGACAGAGAGACACAGGACTCCTACACATTCACGGTACTCTAGAGCCTTCACATTATATACAATATGTATGCGGGGGAGAGAGAGAGAGAGAGATAAGCTTCTGAATGCATTTGAATAACTCTCCTCCATCCACAGACCCTTGATAAAACCCTAGTGGTGGTCCTGAAAAAAAGACTTATCTTGTGAAGAGGTGCAAACAGGAGGCAAAATAGGAGGAAAGGATAGATTGGAGAGAGAACAGGAATGTGTAGGCATGAATGTCAGGCATGCACCTGTAGCTCATCAAAGTCAGTCATGTGTCGAGCCTAATTTACCCATTTAACCAGTTAGGAGAGAGAAGTGAGGAAAAAGTGAGGGGGAGGGAAATGGCAGGGGGTTGCTGCGCTAGTGAACGAGAGAAAACACACTTTTAAGAGAGCAGGAGGTTACAGTGAAAATCAACCAGCGACATAAATGGAGGGGGGAGGGGAAATGGGAAGAACAAAGAATGAAAGATGTGTGCATTACACTCATGTCTTTTCATAAACCAGGAAAGTTTACCGACTAATGTTTAAATACGGGTTTCATTTAGTATTTAGCACTGCTTCTATACATTTGCTGAGCATGACTTGCAGGTTTTTCTTGAATGATTGTCTAGTTTTCTGCATGCAGGCCAGCACCTCAGTAGCTCAATGCAGAAATAGGTGTAGAAAACAAGGCTTATTACAGTGGTTGCTGTCCCTCTGTGTTTACCTCTTTCCATCGGTTTCTCTGTTTCTGTCAGACAATCTTATGTTCTTTATGGTTGTGTTATTCTAGTTTACCTTATGGTAAAACTTTACAAGCTACCTGGCGGTATATGAAGTCATTAAGATTAACCCCACCTTTAGCTGCAACATTGAAATAATGAACACATTAATGCATCACTATCCAAGAATGTAATATACATTATTCTGGAAGGGGTAACTTCTGCATCATGAGTACATTTACTTTTACTAATACTAATACTTTTGTACTGTATTTTGAATACAGGACTTTCTACAATGTCGTATTGCTACTTTTACTTCCACCACTATCTGGGTGTGCCTCACCATATGATGTACAGTATTGTTTCGTTACGTACAGCATTCTGTTACCTGCCAAGTTTCAGCCTGGTCATGCTGGCAGTGCTCGTGTATGTGTATGTGTGTGTGTGTGTGTGTGTGTGTGTGTTTGAAAGCAGCATATTGTATGAGTTTATGCATCCTTGTGTCTAAACGCATCTATTTGGAAGTTAAAGATGGGGAAAGCAGAAAGCCTGGTGTATTGATTGAAAGGCAGAGGTGTACAGTAATCATGAAAGCCTTGCAGGAGAAATTAAACTCGAGGAGGAGGAGGAGGGAGAGAGGGGGAGAGAGAGAGAGCTATGAGACCTGGAGGATGATTTTCATTTTAACGGAGTCAATCAGCTTCTTGGCAGATGAGTTTGCGCCAGAGAAGATTGCTATCAGTGAAGAAGCTTCTGTCGCGTCTGTTGATATGCACTTTGATATTCATCACTGATGGACTATTCACATGGACACATTTCATTTGTTTTTGTTTTTTATGTTTGTGTGCTAAATGAATGACAGAGGAGACCAAGATCATGACAAAAAACCCTGTCGGAAAGAATTGTAAAGCTTATTTGGCAGCTATGCAATCTCAGACAGCCGACCTATCTTTGAGTGTTTCAATGTCATCTCACTATTACTGACTATTTGCAACATTTCAGAAATGCCAAATTGCATAGTGGACCTTTGCTTTTTTCTGTGTGTATCTAAAAAGCTAAAATTACAACTGATTTAAAATTGACAGGGAGCATCATGTCATTTGACAGGATGAATAAGTTCTGCTTACATAAATAACTAAATATTTTCGGAAACGTGCTTATTCGCTTAGTGCTCTCATTTTTGTACGCTAAATAATACGCTTGAGCCAGCAAGCGTACTTGCCAAATTGTTGAAGAATTGAATTTGAAACTATATATAATACAAAGAAACAAGAAATGTTTGTTCAATGTTTTGGGTTTGATACATATGTTTAAAGGGAGTGGGAAACAGCAATCATTGAGAGGAAATTGTGAAGGGGAAATAAAGAGAGACAGACCGCACAGATACGTTCAAGAGTTTTCAGTTGCACCCACAAACACACATAAATTAACTCAAAACACGGATTTAGATTGAAAGAACACTGAACAACTCTCAAAAGAAACAAGGAAACAAACAGGCACTATCAAGATGTCAAGCGGACATGTAGAGTACACAGTCCGCCCACTCCAGGGTTCTCAAAAGGTAGCTTTTTGTAGCTCGGCTGAGTGTAAACATTTCATCATTGAAGGAACATTTTATTTATTTTGCTCGTGTCATTTTTCTTCTTTTCTGTGTCCCTCCAGCTTTTAGCATCAGACGGAGTCCAGCAGAGCATTCCGGTTACCGTGTCGATAACAGTGTTGGATGCTAATGACAACACACCGACTTTTGCTAATGCCTCTTATAATGTCAACCTGTTTACTGATATGGTGCCTGGAGAAACTGTGTTACAGGTATGCACTGCTAAACACACACAATGTATTAACAACAGTTCTGATGTAGAATTTGCAATATACGTATTACACTTCATATGGATGGTGAGTGTTTAGACACAGTTTGTGTGTTTGTGTATCTCACCCAGCTGGCAGCAATCGACTCTGATGCAGGTCCCAATGGTCAGGTCAGCTACCGGATCTTAGCTGGTGACCAGGGACATTTTCTTATTGGCAAAAGGTAAATATATCACTTGCATTGTAATATTATTAAAATGTTTATTTCAGATCAATACCACTTAGGTTTGTGATCTAAATATAAAGCTACCACCAGCAGCCAGTGAGCTTCGCTCAACATTAAGACTGAAAACAGGCGGAAAATGCGAACCTGGCTCTGTCCAAAGCAAAGAACAAAACACCTAATAGCACCTCTAAAGGCTTGTCTACAGTTTCAGATGAGGTTTTTAAGTCATCCTTCTCACGCGCGTCTGGCAGAATGGAAAAGCTTTTAATTATAAATACGGGCTGGTTAACAGCTCACATTTAACTCTCCATATTCTTGTGTGAACCCAACCTGGAGCATAGTTTTAGTCCATTTTCTTCCATTTTAAGTGCACAGTGACTGAGTACTGCCAAAACACGTAAGATCTACACTCCGGGGCAAATTAACAAAAGGATTGTGCGACTTTTGCAGCCGCTAAACCTATGCAAACAAGACAAAAAGAAACCGTGTTATCCTAAAAGCATCCTCAAAGAGTGAAATGCACCCCTCAATGTGCTGCTAAGCAAATAGTGCTATTTGCTCATATTTAAATTGGGTTATATGCATACATTTAGCAGGAAATCGTCCCCTTTCTATTGCAAAAACAGTCCGATTCACAAAGATCAGCGCTAATAGCCACATGCAGTTACAGTGAAATAAGTCTTCAGAGAGTTGGTGGTAACTGAAGCACATTTATAAGGGGTGTGCACTCAAACTCAATTATTTTGGGATACAGTGACAGGATGCAATGCCAATTTTGTAGTGAAAAATAAATGAATAAAGCTCTGCTAAATTACTTTTTGGGAAATGCATGACAAATAACGGAATTTAGATAATCGTTTGTGAATCGGACAGTGAGACGGAGCAGATAGTTGTCGCAAACAGCCCTCGGTTCTGCCTGAATGCATCCTGTGTAGACACTGATGGAGGACACAAGCTGTTTAAAGATTGTGTGAAGTTCACGTACCACCTTCATTTTAGCAATTTGAATGAAAGTGTTTATAATCCTGTAATGAATGGACTGTTTTCACAGCACTGGGGTTATTACTGTGGCACCAGGTGTTGAGCTCACAGTTGGGCGGAGCTACGCTTTGACTGTAGAAGGCATGGACAATGGGCCTGCACCTCAGAGAAGGTAAGACTTTCTTTCCGTCGACTTCATCAGTCTTACTCCCATCCGTCTAGAACTGAGGCTTGAAAGGTCATCAGCTTTCACACTCGTTGTCAGACACTCCACAGCACTCTCAAACCTTCTCTGACATTCTCTTTATCTGTTCGCCCATTTCGGGTAAGCCGCGTTCAATTTTAGAGATACATCATGAATTATGGTTTTATATTGGAAAATGGCAAGAAAAGAGTCTAAGAGAGGACAATTGATAAGACAAATGTTAGAAGGAAAGAATAAAAAGGGAGAAGAGTGTCGCAGACTGAAAGTTAATGAATGGTGCCTCACTGCTAGTTACCCTCTTCTTGAGAAACGGACTGAAAATTATAGGCTACTGTCTGCATGTCAGAGAAGGGACAATTTCCACAAATGCAAGCACACATGATATCTAGAAGAAATATGACACACGGTAAAGACACAAAATGTAATGAAATCTGGCCATGTCGCATTCTAAAGGATAAGGACTGACTTGATACGGTGACATTTGTGTTATTTTTTTGATCTCCTGCCTACTGTTTTCCGTCTCCTGCCCGTCATCTCTCCTTCATGGATTAAATCAATAAGAAGCCATAACTTTCAGCAACTCACAAACTCTTTCATGGAAAATGCAGCTGCCACCATTCTTTTTTTGGGTCTGTGCGTATTGATTCGGTAGCAAAGTCTGCCAGAGACCTGTTCAATTTAGAAATTTTAGATTTAGCAATTATCGTGCAATATCTCAAAAGAGAAGAAAATCCAGCCATCGAACCGTTCAGCCACTGGAACATAGTTATTCTGCTTTGTTCTACAGATTGATGGAGCAGAGTTTGATTCCTTTAGTGTTTTTCACTGCGCAATGCCTCAACATAAGAAGCATAAGAGAACAAGGCCATGTGCTTTTGCAGGTTGCAGAGAAAAAAAATGGCTTTTGATGCACGATGTCCCTCTTTTTCATTTTCCCCACAGTTTTCTTGCCTTCTTACATATCCTCTAATAAAGACACAAAAGAAACATGAGCAAAGGCATCAATGACAACAAAAGCTACATAAACAGTACTGCGCCAGCGTGAGCAACATCCTGTTGTTTGCTCATACTGAAAGCACACTTGGGTAAAGTTCTTTGTGTTTTGCGCTTTGGAATTCTCAACAAAAGGATAAATTAAGACTGCAGTGTCCTTGCAGAAAGGACGAATACGCCAAGTCTTTGCTCCTCAAGTAAGAGGCACCAAACAAAAACAACACTAAGTTACAGACATACAGGAATATTTAATCACGATTTTTGTTTGAGGAAAAGGCCCAGTACAAAATTGAGGCGACAGTCACTTTAATTTGAGCTGTCAGCGGCCAATTTTAATCGACTCACCTGGTTACATTTTAGAATATGGGAAAGCTGTATGAATGTTTTGCATATGTCAGTGTGTTTATCAGCAGGTACCTCCCCTGTGAGCATTTCCATGCCTAGATAATAAATATAAGAGTTGGCATTGCACTCCTGTGACAGTGTCGGACTCACAATGGACAGTTTCAAAAAAAGAAATGATGCCACAGAATCAGACATATCCTTCTTTTCTTCTTTATGCCACGTATTCTTATTCCTAGCGCCTACACATCTATGTTACCCACAATGCAACTCGACCACCGGCAGTTTGGTTGGATACTCAGGTATGTTATGCTAGTAATACCTTCAAGTAGAGGTGAGGAGTGGAATACAGAGGTCTGGTAACTCCACACCCCCAGATTTGTAATTTTCAAACTTGTACTCAGAAGTCACTTGCCGGTGTCCCCAAAATGTTATCAGATTCAAGCACTCTAAATTTCTCTCACACATGCAGACGAATGCTCGCAGTGTAAAACCTGGCTGTTTGGATCCTTTGGATCAGCCCTGGGACATCTCTAATGGAAGCTAATAATTACATGCTCTGACACCTCTCAGCATGTCCAACACTCAAAGCTCCATCAGTTGACTTGTGGTTTGTCCTCAGATTTACCCCAAATGAATTAATCTACTGTGTCTAATAAATCAATCCAGTTACAAAAAACAGATAGTGTGTAAATTATTCTCATGGCTTACTTTTAGTATATCTTTATCAGATAATGATTTATTCATCACAAAAGCAATGCATTGCTCTCTCCAACGATGTTTGTCATAAAAGCTGAAATTGTCTCCCCTCTCGTACATGGCTCCAGCTGTGTAGTTGCCAAATCAATACAGAATGTGAACCACAACAGATTGAGGTGGTTCCAGTGATTGGCCCACAGATTGTCCCCAAATTTCCCCAGACCCTCAGTTTATCTCAGCAGAAAACATAACCAGCATAGCAAATCAATATCCATCTCTGCTACCTGATTTGTAAAAACTATGGGTCAAGACTTTAAAATGAGTCGTGTGTCCCTCTTCCTGGCAGCAACCAACAAGACACGAGTGACAGCATTTTTAAATGACTTTGGATCTTAGCTTGTGAGTAACTACATCTCCATGTTACGGGGCTGGGACTGAAGAGGAACGCGTGAGATACATGTTTCATTCAGATTAGAAGTGCTTTTCCATGGCCTACATAGATGCACCCCAGAGTACTGAAAACTGCCAATGCTTGGGGGTCTCATTTATACTTTCATCAAACTGTAGGCTAAGAGAGAAAGAGGGCACCACCAGAGAGAATAGATAAGACAGGATAAGATTTTAGATAATAGCTAGATAGAGGTCAAGATAAATAAGCCATTTTGCACTGTACCGTAAGAGGCATTTAGGAAAATATAGAGGTGGTACGAAGTCATTGTTTTGCCAGTTGCAAGCAGTGTTGGGCGAGTTACTTTAAAGAAACAATCAACTACACAATACATATGTTGAAATAGGAAATAAAACTCAATGGTTCAACAAGCAGCCAGCCTACAGTTCGGAAGTACAGTAATACTAACTATTTATGTTTATTATTTTTATTACCATAAGCGGCTAGCTTATCGCTAGCCATAAAGCCTGCTGCAGCACTTTAGAAATACCAGGTTCCTGATTGTCGACTTACCATTAGCTAACGTTAACAACAACAAAAAAAAGTGTAAATAAGACTTTGCATTTACCCAGATACACACTTTCCCTCATTTGGTAGTGGCCGATTGCGTACCCACACCTCCAGTCGTGAGCCAAGCTAAACACGCAGTTACCCAATCCTCCATTAAACTCCTGTTGAGACAGCGAACAAACTGGATTTGTAACTGTAACGTAATTATTCAATTTAAAATTGCTCTATCACACACAAAAAAAAATCTGCATTGCTGAAAGTCTTAACTAAGTAAGAGATTATTGCCCAACTCTGGCCCCAATAGATCACGAGCTTGGGGCACTGAAGCCCCAAGTCAACACCAAGTCCTCATTACATGCACTTCACCAAGTGTAATCCAACATGTATGTCAACAGATCAATAGCAGTGGCAGTAATATTAGAAGTAGTGGTAATAATGGTGCCACTTCTACTACTGTTGAGAAACCATTGCAGTTACAGTAATCATGTCAATGGTTTTTATTACCAGAAGAAACATTAGGCTGCCGCTTGCCAACCAGTCAGTTAATGTATTGAGCATTTGTTGTGCAGCTTAATGTTTGTATGTACACGTGTGTGGGTTTGTGTTTGTACTGCACAAGTAGGAACCGTTTTATTTAGCCATGGCTATGAAATGGATAACGCATATTAAATAAAGAAGAGTCTGCCTACCATCGGTAGACAAAAGAGTTTTTTCGAATGGAAAAAGAAGGCGAAAAATAGCTACAGTAGAAAGCCCGACTGAATAATCTCCAGTCCCTCAGTCGTTTTCCATCAATAATGCCATCTGAATTGTTTTAGTAAAAAAAGGGGGTTTTCTCCCTCCCTGGTAGCTTACATTTTTCCAGCCTTTATCTTTTTATTTATTTATTGTTGTGAACAGATTTTGTGGGCTATTGTTTAGATCCGAGGTTCTTTGGCTTTTTCAGTCGATGATCCAGTTTTAGTGGAGTTAATCTCTCCCTGCTGAGACCAGCTCTCTCGCCAAGTAGGAACACAAAGTGAATCCCTGCAGTTTCTTACCCTGACATTCAGGGTGAGTAAAACCAAACATCACTCATGTCATGTGTGGGCGAAACTGGGAAATGGGAGTAATTGCGATTTTTTTTTTTCCAACCAGCTAATTAAGATGTGTTACTAAGGACCAATTTAATAAAAATGTAAGGGCTGGAATTTTACTATCTGCTACAGTCTTTCTTCCTAATGTGACATTTTCATCCAGATGATGTTCAGTGAGTCACTGTTATTTTCATGTGAGCCAGCATCAGACCTCAACACTTGTTTTTATAAAGCAGGAGGAAAATAATTCAATATGTCTAAACCCATAAACCTCACTGACACGCTGGCGGGGCCAGTCAATGCAAACTCCTACTGTGCAGCCAAACACTGTCTCAAACTCAGACCTTTATTTTGAATTCAAGAAGTGATCCAGAAATCTTCTAATATACCAAATATGGCTGAATAAGTTTGGGAAATGCGTACCGGTAAACATTAAGTCTAGAAAATTCCCGCGTGATGGCCGTTAATACCTTTTAAAAAAAAAAAACAATATGTCTTGAATATTAAACAAAATTTAAACATATAACGTCAAAGAAACAGTTTGAACAAGCTGATAAAGTATACACAGTTTAGCCCACACTGATACTGAGGTGAATAGGATTATTTTCCTAACTTACTAACTAAGAAAAAGGCTGCAACTGTATGTTCAGGTGGTTCTGATATAATATTAATTTAATACGTTATACTTTTTTCTTCTTGACCTCTGTCGATGTTAGATATGCGGTGAATCTTAATAGGTCTGAGGTTGTACATTATTCTCTTTTAGGAGGGGGGGGCGTTTCTTTTGTTAATGCAAATTTTGAGTGTTGTAATATATACCCAAGAAATATCATTCCCACAAAGTATCCTGTCGTGCCCCCTGCCAGTGGATACTTTTATTTTGAAGTTATTGTTGAGAGTCCCAGCTCTCTTGAATCTTGTTCCTTTGGGAAGGTTGTGTCCAGGATCAAAATACATGACTGAATTATCTAAGATAATTGGTGTAGCAGGTGTCAAGCCAGTTTCCAGATGCCAGTTGGGTCTTAATTTAATTTTCAGTTCGTATGTTGTTATCTCAATTATGTAAGGCAGTCAATTTGCTAGGGGGCTAAAAAATGAAGTTTGACATGACAACTTTGAGCGAGATGATCAAATATTTCAGAAAGAAAAACTGACACAAGGACACAAGCTGTTTACAGCGCTGGAAATAAGCAGCTCTGTCAACTGTAGGTCATCAAGGTAACTTGTTTTTTAAATAAATGGTTTTTTTTTTGAACAGCCAAAGCTCTTTATCACAGGGGAAGTAAACACTAAGTCTACAAAGTGAAACAATCTACTCTCAGAAAGTGTTCCAAATAGATTTCCCCTTGGTGTCATGGACTTGTAAATCATAAACTCTAATTAACTTATTTATTTTATCTCTGTTAATTCACTTGTAAGCCTATTTCCACTTCTTATATAAAACCTTTATATCTATAATTCCCTCTTGAAACATTTTGATTCAAATTCCCTTCACTGTCAAAGAAATTCCAAATCCATATTTCATACACAGTTGGTTTATTTTGCCTTGATCTATAACTGTCCTTGTAAATGCAGTCCTATACATGTGTACAAACCCCTTGTTGATATTAATTCTAATATGATATGAAAAGTTTATGTGTTCAAGGGCAGGGCTCACCTTTAGAGCTACCACAAGCTTACTTTTTTTTTGTGTTGATTTTCACGGTCCCTGTGGACAAAAGTGGTCCGGTGGTCCGAGCACCAGAGTCCCTTAAGAAAACCTCTCATTTTACTGCAGCAGGATCTGACAGTCTGCTTCGCGCGGTCCTGGTCCTGGTTCTTCGGTGCCACCCTTCCCTTCAGTGGGCCCAGCAATACGGCCCCTTAGTCTCCGAGAACCTGGCACAGAACTTTCCAATTCCACTGGAGCTGTGTCCTGCAGGTGGAAGGCAGCAGCGAAGCGGGATCTGGGTCCGTCCACAGTGGGCAGGTCACTGAGCTAGAGGAGTTTCTGGTGTACCTGTGTGATTTTGCATGGAATCTGACCCGGTGGAACCGATGATGACCATTAAGAATAACTATATAGAAATAGAAAGTCTTCTTGCTGATGGTCTTGTTTACTAATGTAGGTCATTTAGAGGCATCAGTAATCATTTGAGACTGTTTTATAACCAGTCAAAAGTTCCTCACAGTATCTTCAAGATTCTGAAGGAATAATAAAAGATGGTGTTCCTCTATGCAGACATACTGTTATTAAAATGAATGAATAGAAAGATGAATCAGCCTCTACACGAATGAATCATTGAAACAGTAGTGTAAGTTTTTCAAAATGCACGATAGAAACGTTAAGCCCTGGAAAAACAGTTTGTTAAAGCCCAGCAGAACACTGTCCAGACTCTTTGTTGTTGACTTCACACTCTTATTGATTAGTTAAACACAGCATGAAGTGCAAAGAAACAAAAACTGGCCAGCTACTCTTCACTTAAATAATAGACCATTCACTATCCCTGACACTGCTTTTTTTTTTTTACCCACTATCCTCTTGTGCTGCCCTCCAGCTCTTCTCTTTTCCACCTTTTCTCCTCTCATCCCTCGCCAACATTTCTCTGCCACTATTCCTCTGTTATCTGCTTCTGTCTTACAGGCTGCTTCTCTATCTGTCTTTGTAATCTCTCCATTTGGCTTTACCCCATTCTCTTCCTCTCATTTGCTCTCCCTTTAGATCATCCATTACTACAGTCTATATTGAAGTGTTGCCCCCAAACAACCAGAGCCCCCCACGTTTCCTCCGACAACAATACAATCTGGAGATCAGCGAAGCTATGAGGACTGGGGCTACACTGCTTAATCTGCAGGTACACTCCTGCTCTCTCTCAAACACACACACACACACACACACACACACACACACACACACACACATTCCAGTGGTTGTCACCTCCACAGCTCCTTACAGATGAAGTCAATTCATGTCCAAATGTTTAGTTCTGACAGATATAAGATGCGTTTAAACGAGTGTTTCTGTCATTGTTTGCTTTTGAAGGCAGTGGATCGTGAGAGGGACCCCATCACATACAAAATCCACAGAGGAGACGCCTTTGGACATTTTGCTCTACAGCAGAGGTAAGCACACACATACAAACACACACACACAATCTTATTTCATCATGTTTGATCAAAACTGTGGAGCTTGTTTAAGTTTTTACAAATTAAAGCATTACCAGTTTTCTTATTTGTGTATTCGCACTGTGATTATGTGCATACTGTGCAACCACGGCAATATAATGTGTGTGTGTGTGTGTGTGTGTGTGTGGTGTAAAGTAGTCTAAATTATATCATACAGGGCTCGGGCTCAACCAAGGGCCTCACATAAACACACACGTACACTCCTCCACACACACACACACACACACACACACACATACTGACTGTGGGCTTTTGTTGTATTTATTCATTTATTGCACATTAAAAATGCATTTCTTATGCTGGGGAGAGATCCTATCTGCATTTCTAGAAGGAGGAGACAAGAGAGAAACAAAGCAGAGAGAGGTGAAAGACTGGAAGAGATGGGGAAGAAAAAAAGGGAGAGAAAGGGAGTAAGAGAGCAGGGCAGGGACAAAGTAAAAGTTACACAACATTTTAGAGAGAGCTCGGAAGGAAACAACGAACAATGATGACAGACAAATGAGGATTTCAATCGAAAGATGAGGACCAAGTAAAGGAGTCCCCTGCACAGTTTTTCATAAGAGAAAATATTTAAATAAATTGAAGGGCTTTAATTTCTGCATTCTGGGAGTTTCTGATGGGTTCTGTCGGACATTGTGAAATCTTCCAATATGTGCCAAAAAGTTTTCTGTGGCCAAAAGATTCTGATTAGTTTAATACAGAACTAAAAGGGCCCGCATCAGTACAATGATCAGTGGTGAGCTTTTAGGAAAATAACACACAGAGCTTCAAATCTTTCCCTCTGTAGACCATTTAACATCTGCATGCATGCACGCACACACACACACTGTCAATATTTGGAGAAATGAGCATTTCAGATGGTTTCTTAAAGCTTAAATTAAAAACACTTCAATCATTATGTAAATCTTCACTTGGCAAGTAAATAGTTTAGTCAATCAGGCCGACATCAAAGCTTTCTGCTGGTTTTGATTGGTCAGAAGTCTCAGACAGGCTGCACGAAAGCAGTTCTTCTAGTTCGTCAGTGAACTTGTAGACTTTGACTTATGCATTAATCATTAATAATTCACATTCATTCATTTGTGAAAAAAACGAGTCAAGGGGCTAGTTAGAGGTTTTTCCACCTTTCTTTTTATCATACATATGATACACATCTACTAATATATTGATGTTGTAAGACCTTTTTTTAATCACCATTGGTCAATAGAAGATAATGAAGTTTCTATTTAATGTGTAATTAATCAGCATTGAGATTCACAAGCTCTTACTCTAGGTTTGAAGTATTTTGCATACAAACTCTATTTCAGTGAAAAGACTGACTTAAGAAAGGTGTTTTTATGACGCACCACTGTCTGAGCCATTATAGCAACAGCACCCAAGAGGGCCTTCCTTAATATCATGGTGGGTGAGGTGATGGGTATGAGGCATCATCTGCATCAGTAAAGCACCCTTAATGGGCGTTAATGTTTTTAAGCAGTGGTTATCAGTGCTTGCAACTTTCCGAAAAGTGTTCTCTCCAAAGTGATGTCTATGAAGAGAAATAGGTGTCCAAATTCGCCCCTTGTTCCAGAGTTAGCATATAAAACGACTTACAAAAGCCTGGAAGTATCAGCATGAGAATGATTAACATGTTTAGCAATCAATTAATTATGAACTGAAACTTCTCATAAAATTCAGGACTCTTCAGCAAAGTTTTCTGTTCGGTTGTGTTTGCTTCTCTTGGACCTGTGTTTTTATTGTACTGCTTTTTTCTGTTCTGATTCATTTTTAAGCTCATGCTCAACCGGGTTAACAGTAACTATCTGTGTGTTTTTACTCCAGTTCAGGGTATTTGGTGCTGGATAAGCCTCTGGACAGGGAGTCAGTGGATTATTATACCCTGGTGGTCACAGCTTCAGACGGACACACAGATGGGGTAAGAAACTGAGCTCTACCGCTCAGATATTTGTTTTTACTTAAGATGTCTCACATCTACAATGTAATTAAACTGAGTGGCTGCCTGGCTGGAAATCCTACACAGTGAAATGTCACAAACAACAGCTGTGGCATTGTGTGAGAAGATGGATATAAGAAGACATTTTGGAAAACTATTCAGTAATAATAGTAATCATAATAACAATCCCAATCAAAATAAAAAAGCCAAAATCTATTGTAACAATTCATTTTAAAGCAATATGGATACTTGATACTTAAAAATATTTGCAAGTGAGTCCCATCTGGCCTTTACAACTTAAACAGATGTGATGGAGAAGACCTTGAAGTGTAAGAATGCCTTATTCAGCGTTCATTTGTACTTCCCGTTGCAAAAAGATGGTGACGGCTAAAATGTAAAACTCAAGGCTATAAAACTGCAGTCCACAAACCAATGTGTGACTACGTCCGCTTACAGTCTATGGTAATATACTGACAAAAGGCTATTACTTCTACTACCAGTTAAAATTCTTTCACTGTCAGAGTTTATGTCTCTGTGAGTGCAAACACGTTGCAGCAAGTGTTATTTTCCAACTGAAAGTGACAAGAGGAGATTTAAATATGTTTTTCTTAATTGCTTTAACATTTCAGTGAAGGTGAGCACTTGAACATCCAGAAAAAGCCGCTGCGAATGCATGTTTGTAGACACACAAACTATGGCTTTGTGTGGAATAAACATATCACCATACAAAATGGCCACAGAAATTCTTATTCAGTCCGCTGCTATAAGAGCTATTTTGTAAAGATGGAGTGTGTGCCCTTCCTCACTTTCTCACTTACTTAATTGATCACAGGTCATCAGAGTCGCTCTCTCCATCTCTCTCTGCTTGTGTTCTTCTCATCTTTCCTCTTTTAAAAGTCAAATCTTCAGTTGCTCTCACATGAAAGTCAGATAAAGACATTGGATGGGAGTCCCCCTGCCCTCCCCTCTTTCCTCATTCTCTACTCCTCATGGCTTTCAACAATATCCCCTTCTCTTCTCCCCCGCATCATCCGTTAGTCAAGCATTAACAGACATTTGTCTCCCTGACTCCTCTTCACCGTCACCCCTCCCCCACATGTCAAGTAAAGCAAAAGGTAAAGTTTGAGGTCCCTCTGAGGAGAGAAAATGCTGATTTGAATACTCTGACCTTCTCTCACACCCTCGCACACAACAAGGGAGAGAACAAGTGGGAGGAATTCAGAGCGAGTGAGGAAGGAAGAGAGATGTGGGAGGTGTTCAGGGGGCTCTTATCACCTTTACAATTGCACTGTGTGTTAATATGCAATTATATAAAGGAGTCTTAACACATAGACACTCACGGACATGCACACATATACTTAGTCAATTGCTCTCTGGACCTTGACAATTTGTGCATTATCTTTGTGCCCCAAAGGTCTTTAAGTCAGAAAATGGCTAAAAGTAGTTTGGACATTTTTCTGCTTGACACTCCATTATATTTTGAATGAGCGGAAAAAAAGAGAGAGAAGGTGTATGAGAAAGGAATGGTGTGAGCAACGCAGAGAGACAGAAGGGAAGACGAGGAGCGAAAGAAATAGAAAAGGGAGAATACAAGATTGGGGTGTAGTCGCCTCATACGGGCCCATTAATCAGCATCACTCGAAAGGCCTTGGGTTGTCTTCATATGCGTGTGCACACACACACACACACACGTCTGTGTCCCCTATTATTAAATGTCCCGTTGTGAGAGTGTCAGACTACAAAGTGCCTAATTGGCTATTTGGCCAGTGAATCCATCATACTGCCACAGATTGAGGGCCCTACAAGCCGGTGCAGTAAAACAGCTCCACTGTAAGGGCACCGTGCATTGTCGGATGCAACTTAAACTTTGGTGCAGGACAGTGCGCTGTTGTATAAAACTGTATCAAGGATGTGAGTATGGGAATCAGCTCATGTTTTAATCATTAATTCCTTTTAGAAGCTACATTAATGAAGTTTGTTAAGTAGCTGAAAGAATAACGCTGATGTCTATTTTTTGAACAAATCCGATGTAAAGACCAAAAAACAACGACGTGTCAATAGTTTCTACAATACTATCCAACAACTTTATGTGACCCTCCAACCCCATTCATTCCTACTGCAGACTGAACTATTTTAAAAATATTGGCCCCAAATATATAGTTTAATTTTTGAAAAAGCCAAGTAATTTCTTAAGACAGCTGGACTGTGCAGTTTTTCAATAAAACATTTGTTGGGGACTATTTCAGCTTTGGTTTAATACATTTTAGTCAGAGACACTTCTCATTTCTCTGTTAAATCAACAACACCAAAAACGTTGCCAGCCTAGTCTCAGGAGGTTGGGGCGGTCGAGGGAGCCGTGGCAACAAAAAGCATTGCCATGAGCGTAGTATGCAGCGGGGTAATAGTGAGATCTGTATGGTTGTTATGGCGGCGCTGTACACCTAGAGGAATATGATTGGAAGTTGCTAGTCAGCTGGCAGCCAAACAGCTTGAAAATGAGCCTTTGAATGTGAAGCATGAATGAAACGGCTTCGGTGCTCTTCTGTCAACTAACTATACTATACTCCATATTTGGTGTGCTAGTGGGTATTACTATCAGCAAAACGCTGTAATGAGGGAATATGTGACCCATTGCGACAATGTGGCTTAAATGTTTGTAATACTTTTTGAACAATGGAGGTCTATAGCACAAAGGAATACTTTTTAGTTGGATCAAGTAATTGTGGATTTAATTTTCTCAGGATTTGAAGGCAATGAAGAGAATATTGCCTGCTGTAACTTAATTGCAACAACACGGAGCAAGCGCAGCAGTTTGGCGTTGAAGGGGAAACATGCTTGCAGTTTGTGAAAAGTTTTTAAGCTGGCAGACATCAGTGGTTGCCCCATCTATCACAAGTCGGTTGCTGAGGAATTGTCAAGACAGGCAAGAAAGTGAGACTCAAATAAAGCCCAAATCACATTTAACACAAAAGGGGAGGAATCCACAGCACGGACTTTTTAAGCTTTTACTACTCCTCGTTCTACCACAGGATGCTCATGTAAAACCTTCACAGACAGCTAGTGCGACCAAAAGTTACATAAACATGTAATATATGTAATAATTGATAAGTTTCTCCTCTTTTAGTCATATTGGTTATTGGAAAATTGTACTGTACAACGCATGGTAGAGAATACATCTGAAACCTTAAAGGCACAGTGAATATGAACCGTAGGTGGCGGTTTGTTAGCCCCTCCTCCCCAGCTCATTGAGGATTACGGTGCTCGCCAGCGGGGGAAAGCCAGCCTCCAAATTCACTGTCGTTTGGGAATGAGCTTTGTCCGCCTCGCGTTTCGCCTCGCTGTATTCACGGGGTTTTTTTTGGTCGCTGTGTATGCCATTTTCGTAGCTCCTACTCATTGTGCCTTTAACAATATTGTGTCACCAAATTTGGATGGGCGTGAAACTTTGGCATTTGGCCATGATATCAGCAGGATAATAAACTCTGAGCTGTACGGTTATCGAAAAAATGATTTGCTTAGAGCCCCCCGATGCAAAATGAAGCTTACTGGATCTCCTCTCTATTTGTGTGTGTGTGTGTGTGTGTGTGTGTGTGTGTGTTTGCCAGCGCTGCTCACAGCCTTCCTTTCATTATATCAGAGCTCATTCTGCTCTACCGCTTTACATATAGTGGCATTCGGATAAACAGTTTTGTCAACTGTGAGCTCTTAACCTCAAATTACTTGCATCACCGTGTGCCCTGCCAACCTCAATAGCCTGTTGTCACCTCTGTGATTGTCACTCTCCCACACACACCCACACACACTGCATTCTCTTTTTCCATCCCATTGTTGTGAATCGGTTAGCTCTTCCTCATTTTCCACTTCCTCCTAGTTCCCTTCTTCAAAAGTCAAATTTGCTCTCTCTCTCTCTCTCTCTCTCTCTCTCATCTCTCTGTCTCCCTCTCTCGCTCTTATGAAAGTCAAATTAAGAAATTGGTGACCTCTTACCAGTTTCTCTCTCTTTCCTTGTCTTCCGTGCTCACTCTGTAACATTTCTTATACTGTTGCGAAACAGTGAGAATTGGTGACATTTACTGTAAAATAGTTTTTTTAATAACTCCAAACATTCATAAACATGCTCTAATGCCTCAGGGGATCAGTTAAGTTTCTTGGCACAGTCTATCCTTCTGACTTTTGGGAACAGAAAAAAGCCCCGTATCATACCAGCTGAGCTGTCTGGTCCAAAATGATGCCATATGATCGATAAGAAGTGTTCTTTCTTTGACCCCTAGCTGCCTTGCTTAAGTATTTTTCACATGGATTTCTTAATTATGCTTATTTCAACACAAATCCCTTTTAACATGGCAAGAAAAAGTGGAAAGTGGACCACCAACAGTTTTTAAATCTATTTTTTGAGTGAACAGTAGTTAGAAGCACAAAAACATGGGACATCAGGACTAATTAGCAAATAAAATGGGCTCTTTGGTTTGTTACATAAGGGAGCTGTTAATAAGAGGGACAAATAGACTAAACTGGTCAAATAAAACCTCTGGGAAATTTGAAGATGGATTTATCTGGTATAACCTATCACATAAAAAACGACCCTGGAAAAATATGTTTAATGGAATACAAATTTCAGCTTTGGATGACCACAATAGTAAGACAAATTTGTGTTTGTTTGTGTGTGTTTTTGTGTATGCGTGTGTAGACCTCCACTGTGACGGTGAGCGTCGTGGTGACAGATGTTAATGACAATGACCCGCTGTTCGACTCTTCACTGCCAGTGAACCTCACTGTCATCGAGGAGCAGGATCACGCCTATGTTGGACAGGTCAAGGTAGGAGGATGCACACTAAGCGCACGCATGCTCCACTCTCTCCCACTGCCTCACCTCACTGCTCACTGCATGTTCTTAAATACACTCTGATGAAGGCCAAACACATTGGGAGAGCATGTCAAGTTATTACACCTGTATCTGTTATTCCTCTTGTGGTGTAGATTGACATGTTTGAAACTGGTAACACAACTCTTTTTGTTATTGTGGTCATCATGTCTCAGTGTAAGCAATCCAGACATAAGGACATTGAGACCTTGAGAAAAAGACATAATTACTTTAACTATATTACTGCATGTCATGTCCTTTATATTCCCTTACCACACATACATACAGACACACAGGCATCACACACAGATTCACAGAGGCTCTAATTAAGTTCTGTTCTTATAATCTTTTACAATGGGGACCAGTGATCACTAACATGACTCTGTAAACATTGGTAGCTTTGTAATTAGGCTGTCTGTTACTATGCTTGGAGGACTGTGTGTGTATTATATAAACATAAATAGGCCTATATAATATTATTTATAATATCACATCTTTGTATTATAAAGTATTATATTTTAATATCAGCAGATGTCATGCTTGGACATCATATCCGGGGGATAAATTTGATTAACTTAACACAGACAAATATCAAAATCACATGAGGTCCCCTGGTCTCTTGCTCCTGTGCGATTGGGTCTTCATGTGTAGCAAGATAAGCTTCCTCAATTTGTAACCAAAATGCTGTCAAAACTCTTTTAGAATTGCCAAAGCAGCCTCCATAATTCACGAAAAGGAAAGGGGCAGAAAAAATGTACGGAGAAAACAAAACTCCTAAAATAAGACCAAAATGACCAAATCACCAAGACGCCTAATCATGCAGGACTGATGTCATCACATGACCTCTGTGTTTGAAGATAAGAAGTTAAGAAATGACAGATTAAGGCTTAGTTTGATTTTAACTATAAGGCTGCAGATTTTTTATCAAAAAAGGGATTTTTCTAATGTTTGCGATGGATTGACTTTTTCAAATTCCATTGTTATTTTCAGTAGAACAATGATTTGTCCTAAAATTATACTATTGTCGAAGAAACTAAATGTCAGCAGCAATTAACAAAATCATTGGATCCTCATTTTTTGTCATTTAGTGAACTGTAAGCAGCCATTTTAGCATGCAACGTAAGTGCTTTCACTTGTGTCAGTGCTTTCACTTGTGTCAGTGCTTTCAACTGTGCAGCTGAAAAGTTGATCCACTTATATTGACATAATGATGGCATTTCAAGATCAGGCTTTTCAGCATTTTGTTGTGTGGCAGTGTTCTTAAGTTTTGGTAAATTCTTGCAGGTATTGATCCCAGAACAAAGGGGCAGATTTTGTCAAGCGTTTGGGGTTACCATGATCTTCATTCACTCTGTTCAATCCTATTGTCTCTGTGGAAATAGTGGTAAATCAAGAACAAATATGAATGAAATGTATATTGAATAAAAATAATTATTTCTAGTCTGCAACATATATACTATAATGTCAAGTAAAAAAATGTAGTACATATAAGTAAAATGATCTCTCCTCAACACTGTGGGATGCATTTTCACCTACATCAGCACCCACGCCTCCACTTACCACAAAGACTCCTGGACTCGTTCCAGACCTAATAACTGACTCATGTATTCCCCAGACAGGGGTCATGGGGAAATCTGACACGTTGATAGGCTCTGATCTTTAAAGATGCTCCCTCGGTTGCACGCTTGCTTGGATTTGCTCCAAGCTTATATCATAGCCTTTATACACCAGTGTCAGGGGGTGTTTGATCAGTCTGACACTTTGCCAGGTTTTAAATGTTAATCGTGCTTCTTTGGTTGAACACTAGGACTACTCCTGAGATAAATACATGGCCCTTGTACACCCATGTCTAGGATTTTGAACAAGGCTTTACCCTTTAACAGGTTCCAAAGTGAAAAGCTCAATACCTTTTCTTTGGACAATCGGGTGCTATTCTAAGCACGTAATCCAAACCATATCTTTAAAGAGGACATTTCATTCCAAGCATTCCAAACTTTAGGTTTTGGACAGACTTTTGGATATGTTCCAAATTCAACATCCAAAAACCCACCCTAATCTTTAGAGCGGGCACTCGAAAGTATTCCAATCCTGAACTTCCTACCTTTCAAGGACCCTTGGATATTTTCCAAACCAAAACAGACAGTGTGATCCCTCAGCGGTCTGTGCAAGGCACGACTCTGGGCCTCATTCCAAACCATGGTCCCTACCTGTAGGTATTAAAGAGATTTCCGGAAGAATGAAGGACCCGACCTTGATGTTCTGATGCTGGTGAGGTAAGAGAGGGATGGAAAGAGGGGAGGAAGTGAGACATGCATGGGTGGCAGATAGAAATGGGAGAAAGACACTGGGGAAAGGTAATAGGGGTGAGAGAGAGAGGGGGGGAGACAACAGAGCAAAGGGAGAACGGTTGCATTCTTAATCTGACTTGCATGAGTTTGAGACATGTTTTCTATTTTAAAGAGGTGAAAAATGCATTGGAAAAAGGAAAGACTGGATGAATTCCGAGAGAGGTCATTTGGCCATTAAAGATAGGATTATAGAAGGTCAAAAATAATAAAGAAAGGTGAGCACTTCATTTGCATGATATAGTGGCAGATAGGAGCAAAGACTCCAGAAGTGATTAAATTGAAATCCTTTTCTGTAATGTTGCCATTGTGACCCTGAGAAACAGTGGACAAGGCTGCATCATAGCAGCTGCAATGGCACCCAATGCACATGCTGTTTGGCTTCAGAATCAAACATTTAATGTCAAGCTAGCTGCCTCCCAAAGGGCCTCTTCATCAGTTTAAGTTGATCCCTCAACGGCAGCCATATAAAAATATTCAAGCTTTCCTAACAGTCCAGCACAACAGCGTGGTTGTTTACTCTCGACATCTACTGTAGATGGCGTTAAGGCTAGCTGTAAATGTTGTATTCTTTCTCTGTAAGTGGTTTTAAATGATTGAAGATTTTTGAAGAGAAAAAACTACAGAAAGTAGACGATACCGTTTACTCTTCATGCTAATAGTGTTGCCAAACATTTTTTTTATTTACCACAACAGCTTTTCCGTGGAAACAAACAAATCCATTCAACCAATAGCTCATGACCACGATGACACATAGTTTTTAATCTCAGATTCAGAGCGATACTTACAGTGCGAAAGAAAAAGACGTATCACAGCTATGAGCCAATCAGATTGCTTGATATAGTCTGATTTAGTTCATCCTCAAAAGCCACCATTAATGCTAGGAAGCACAATTAACCAAAGAAAACCAAATAGATACGGAATGCAAGCTGTTGTTCTTGTCTTTAACATATCAGCATTTACAGTATATATTTTTTGCCCTGGGACAAAATGAAAAGATGTCTTCTTGCAACTCCTCAACAAGAATCACATACAGTATGTCTGACTGACCAGTTTCACCCAAAGATCATGTTTTTTCCCGTGTCTTATTTGACCTTTCACTATTTAGAGTGAATTATTCATTAATTTAGGAAAAAGGAAGGATTAGTGGAGAACCTGAAAAATGGACATCAAAAATGTGACGCAATACCAAGCTGTTGAAATGAAGTTCAGGTGGAGCACAACATTTACCTGATGGGAAACATCAGTTGAAAAGAAGAAATAACATAGACTTAAATGGAGCAATCTCTCTCTTACACACACACACACACACACACACACACTCACACACTTAAATGCACTATGTAGAAGTAATACAACTCGAGTGATGACTTGTCCGTATGTGTATCTCACTGAGAAATGACTCCCACACTGTGATAATACACAGATTTAAAAAAGAAATCTGCCATTGACTTTCAGTTGCAGGTAATTCTATTGCTGTATCTAGGGATGCAATTAGAGGTGGAGGTGAGAAAGTGATGAAAAGAAAAATGATAACAAGGAAGATTGGAAGAAAACAGGTATGAGCACGCAAACGCGACAGGTAGAGCAAGCTATTGTAGAGATAGAGTGTCGATTTCAGGCTTTAATCTGGTTTTCTTTGTCAGCATTTGTTGAAAAGCAGCAGATGTAAGGCAACTGAGACATTTATTCTATTGTGTCTCTGGCTTATAACTGTCTGACAGTGTAATTATGCTGAGAGAACTGTGAGGGGTGTAAAAGACACAAGAAAAAGAGAAATAAAAGAGGAAGGACGGAGAGAAAGTCACCGACATGCACGGTACCCAACTCCAGGAACTGCAGACAAAAATATGTTTGATATCAAGACGATTAATCTAGCCTACTATCTAAAGGATTTCATCTAATGTCTAAAATGCAACGCTATGACATCTCTGCGGTTGGCAGTTTGAAGGAAGGTTTTATGTACAATAATGTTTCCCTATTAAATATCAAACATTTGCCCCGTTATTTGCATATAGGCAGGACAAATTTGCTGTCCATTTCTCCCAGGATTTCTCCATCAGTTCAGTTGGCTGACATCACAGGGATAAATCTCTCATGTCTTCCAGAAAATTATGTGTGTCACACATTTTGGGTCTCAAATACACGTGGAAGCACATGTGAAAAGCATTCAACGGGCAAACACGTTCACAAAATGTTTGTTCCCTTCCTTTGTTTCCCACTTTCTCTCTCTTAATGTCCATTTTTTAATCTTTCCCTTCCTCCTTTTCAAAACAACCCAAGATAATCATCCAAAAGCTTGATGCTCCATTCAATTTACAGTACAGCTTTACAACCGGATATCAATGAATCACAGATTGCAAATCACAAAAAGAGGACTTCATTCCTCTCTCTTGCAGTCTGCATAACACTGGCAAGACGGAACCTCATTTCTATTAATCCTAATAGTCGCTGTGTGAGATAAGATGAAAGTTTAATGATCCAAAATTGGGGAAACGGGGGGAAAAATGGGTCAGTGCAACAGCTGGAAGTGACACAGTACAGCAAAAATGGAATATAAATATGAATTGAGTAATGAGCTTTAGATAAACATATTAAACTGACACTGCTACAGTTATACACTTTGGATCGGAGTAAAATATCTTGACAGATATTGGATGGTTTGCCATGAAATTATGATGAATCCTAATGACTTTGTTGACCCCTAAACTTTTCATCTAGCACCATCATCAGGTCAATACTTTCCAATACTTTGGTTAATGATCAAATAATACCTGCAAAACTAATTCCTTTTAACCTCAATTGACAAATGTTAGGATGCTAACATGCCAAACTGAGTAGATATCACTAAATATTACCTGCTAGAAACCAGCATGTTAACGTTGTCGTTGTGAGTATTTGGCTGCTGCTCAAAGCATCGCTGTGCTTCAGTACAGTCAGGCAGAGCTGCCAGCTGATGACTCTTTTCCCACTGTGTTTTTGTTTTTCATTATTGTGTTAGCTTTATATCAAATAGATTTTGTCACAGTTTTTTTCCTCAGTGATCACCAAATTCTCATTAACGTCACATCATTGTCATGGCAATATATCGTCATGATTTATGCTGACACAATGAACACTAAGACATAATGTATGCAAATACCATAAGTATTATCCTTAATCGTGAGGCTGTCTGTATTTTTAACATTAATCACTTCAGAATAATCCTCCTCCTGACTTATTTTGTTGTGCAGAGTCTTGACTGCTCACACTCTGACTGATAACATTCTAAACACACACTCAGCTTTCTTACTGTTAGCTGCATGAATAGTTGTGAATCAATTATTCTTAAGACATTTATTCATTTCTTTTTGTGGACTTTTAGAATCAGAAAGCAACGTACGCAAACCTCAGCCCTGCACACAAACCGTGTTAATATTTCCTCTGCTCTGCTCTGATCTATTTTAATGCTGTCAAAATGCTGATTGGACAGGACCGGCTAGCAATTTGCCACCTTCTCAACACCTTATTTTATTAGTTGAAAGAGATGGTGTGGCGACGGAGTTTGACTGTAGTCCATAGATACAGAAAGATATTCAGACGAAAGAAGTCCAACAAAGGAAATAAGTACTTATTTTTTACCGAGTGGAAATTGAAACCACTGTCTCATTAACTCTGGAAAAGTTTTTAACAATTTCTACTCGTGGAGAATAATTTGAATTGCTCTGGACAAGTTGCAAAAACGGGGAAAGGAAAAGCTGACACCGGGGAAAATGTGAGAGAGAGAGAGCAGATCACCCTGGTATGTCTTTGCCACCTTGTCAACGCTATGTATTTCTCTTTATCCCAGAAAAAAAGGCTTTGTAAATGTTCACAAGATTGAAAGAGGTTAAGTGTTTTACCTCTTGTATACATTCACACACTTCATTCACACACTCATTTAGCTTGATTTGAGAGGAAGTTCACTTTCAATCAAAGAATGATTGGCTTCAATGGCAGTCTGATGAATTGTAGGATTTAAACCCGTAGTCCTCCCTTCTGATTACCAGTGTGCATGCGTTGTTTCTGTGTGTCTGTATTTAGGCTACAGACCCAGATCTGGGGGCGAGCGGTCAAGTCCACTATCGGCTCGTCAACCACCAGAAGCTGTTTAGCATCAACGCCACCGGAGCGATCAGAACTACAATGGCACTGGACAGAGAGGTCAGCGGAAGGGATTCATATGTTCAGATTTCACATGACTGTCATAGCTGTTGAATGCAATACAAAAAAAAAAAAAAAGAACGGTTGACATTGGCAATGATGAATAATTTGACTGTGATTCTCCATCATCTTCAAGGTGAAAGGTCACTACTTTCTGATCGTTGAAGCCTGGGATGGTGCATCGGACCCTCGGCGATCCAGATTAACGCTGTCCGTCACTGTTCTGGACGTAGACGACAACAGCCCGATATTCACCCAACAAACGTACAATGTCACCCTACCAGAGAACAGCCCCAAAGATACAGTCATACTACAGTTCAAGGTGAGTGAGTGGGTTGATGGATATGCAACTGATCTAGTAGTCAATTTTGTAATCATTTCAGTAGTTGATTGTTATTTATACTATAGCTTTCTGAAGAAATGTAATATATTGCAAATTGTGAGGTTCCAGTTTATAAATTAGCCCTTTGTCCAGGTCAACGTGTTGGCTGGTTTTACCTCGATATCTCCATCAGCCAATGATTAACTAACTAATAATTAAACTAGTTAAAATGTTCAAATGTCCCACTCCCTACCAATGATGGTCACAATTATTTAAAAAATGTATTAATTAAGTTACTTTTCCCTTCAAGTCATAAATTCAGGTACTGAATGAAGTCAATAAGACTCAGCATCATAGTCGCACTTCAAGTTATTTACCGTCTTTGAAATGACCAAATTGGTTTCTATTTACACTCCAGTCTGCATTAGAGACTTCTTAAAAAGTCAGAATTTTAATTTGCAAACACTTGAAGACACACTGAGTTGGAAAGGAATGTAAGAAAAAGAAGGAAACAAGCATCTTTTCCCTCTAGCTACACTGTAAAATAGATACAGGCCACCACTACCACAGGTGTTTCAGACAGGCCAGCCCAACACATTTCCTTCTGGCAAACATAAAAAATTCAACTGGCCATAAATTCACACTGTGATTATATTACTTTCTGTCCCATTCCTTGACTCTGTCTTGCCCTGTAGGCGATAGACGCTGACCTCGGCTCCAACCTCACATATCAAATCAGAACGCAGGGCTCAGACCGGGGGATCGTTCGACTATTCCACATTGACCCAGTGACAGGAGAGCTGTCGGTTCTCAGAGTGCTGGACTATGAGGCTCTGAGTGAATCGGGGCCCACGTACACATTCACAGTAGAGGCCATGGACACAGAGGGAAGCATGCCTCCTGGACTCGCCTCTGTTACTGTCAGAATCATGGTGAGTGTGTGGGTGGTGTGTTTATACTGACATCCAGGGGCCCAACCAGTGGTTTTTGCATAACATTAGCACATTTTCTACATTTACGCAAAAGCCATGGTACATTCATCTTTTGTTGGGAAGTTGACATCGAAAACTTTGGAGTTATAGTCATACTATTAAAGGGTGGTTCCATTATTATTATTATTACGTATTTTTTTAGGTTTTCATATCATACTGTAGCTTCCGAGTGGTGTTCCTATTGTATTCAAATCGCAGCATTAAAACTTTGATCGGAGTTTATATGTTTTAGTGACAATTTGCTCCCCAAGCCCTTCTAAAAACGTTTTCCCACGTGACCTAACGTAGGTTTCTGCATGATGATGTTCTACATTTATATATATATACACTTAAGTCTTTATCCATAGTCACTGTATTTCCTAAAGTAACTTAGATGGTCGTTGGTAAGCTCCCAGTTTGGAGAAGCAGACAAGATACAGGCCCGGAAGCTAAGTTATGTACTACAGCAATGTGTGGACGGCACGTTAGTTCGAATACGAAACTCACAGAAAATCCATAACAAATGAACCAATCAATGCTGCAGTAGACCAACAAGTCCCGTGTTCTGTGAGGTAACATTACTGCTTTTGTATGTCAACCTTAGCATTTGGTTAAGGGCTCAGGGGTTATGTTACCTAGATTAGGTGTTGATACTGTAAACAGCTGTTGCTTTTTCTCCTTTGGGGAGGCCAGATGTTCCTGAACCTATGGAAAGTGAACCCGCTTTAGTGAGTCATTTTGTGGGCTGCAGAGAGAAAGTGAAAATAAGAATAAAGTTCAATTTAAGAATTGGAGTGAGAGCAAAATGCCAACAATGTCAGTTTGCACATCATTAGTATTTAAAAATGTGTACATTTTAGGCACTTTATAGAAAACAAAAACAACTTGATGTACTGTATGTTTACAATCGTAATGCCATACTGTGTTTGTTTATTTCGCTCCAGGACATGAATGACTTTTCTCCGGTATTCAGCCAGTCAGTGTACCGAGGCCTGGTTGCCCCTAATGCTTTCAAGGGAACCATTGTAACCACAGTGATGGCCAATGACTCTGACCCTGCGGTGAGCATTTCCAGCTGCTGCTATTCAAACTGTTTTTCACACTTTGCTCCTCAAATTGTGTTTGGGAATAATGTAAGATAGTTGTGCTTGTCTGCAGTGTTTGTGTGTGTGTTTTAAATGTGTTTGTTTTCTCCAGTGGAGCCGTGTTTTCAACCCCCAGTGTGGCACTTAATGATACCTCCATTGGGGTTTTAACACTAAACATTTGTAATAGAGGCTGGTTTAATCAGCTTGCTGTAAAATGAAGGTTTGCTCACTTTATAGTTCAATTGTGAGCCATTAGATAGCCTGGTGCAGTTAACTCCAGGTTTAAAAGGTTGTAAAAATCAAAGCTGGGTCTGAGTGCAGTGTGAATAAAGCGTGTGTGAATTTGCTGTGTCACACAGCCTTTTGCTTAGATGCAGATCTGAGATGCAATGGCTGTGAAAAATAGCTCTCATCTTTATCGGAAACAGTAAACAACCAACTGGTAAATTTGCAATTTTACAGTATAGTAAATCATCAAATTAATATTTATATTTGAAAAAAGACCAGAAATACAAAAGTATGTCTTTACCTTGCATTACTGCTCAAGAAGACATGATCTTCTTTTTCACTCCTCCATCGCCGTCTGAAATCTTCTACACTGGCGATGTTACCCCATATCCTCTTTAAAAGCCCCATGTCCCTTTGACTAATGTGCTTGCTCTCTTCCTACATCAGCTGAATTGATCCAGACTTAAAGTCTAAGCATAAAGCCGGACTCTCTTGGGTCAAAAAGTAACATTGTCAAGGCTGTATGATATTATAAAGGCTCCCAGTGCTCAAAGAATGTACTAAATAGCACCTTAGCAGCCGTAGTTATATATATATATATATATATATATATATATATATATATATATATATATATATAAATATATATATAATATTTGGATGTCAATGTCACTTATACCCTTCAGACCCACAATTTACCACTAAAGTACACAAAGAAGTATTTGCCACAGTGACGTTTTGCTGACTCAATACGAGCCGTTGTTTAATGAAAGCTTACATTGGAACAGATGCCTACTGTGCACAACAGCAGTGCTTCTACAAAACCAGAAGAATTTACATTTAAACAGAACAATACTGAGTGTTAACCTTGTAAATTATAATAAAACAATCCATATTGTGTTTACACTTTGACATTTTTATTAGAGATGTACTGTTACCAATATTGAATATTATTCCAATTCTGACTCAAACAGCTGGATCGGGTATCTGTGACAATGGGGCCAATCCAATTAATTCTGTTCTATATATGTACATATTCTATGTTATATACTGGAATTAACATTTTTGACCAATCGGTAGCTGACACACACTGACACAAAACTGAATTGTAAATCTTGTTAATTTTGACGTGTGTCTTAACTGCTTCATATGTACTTGGACAGAGACGCACTGTTTTATTTAGGCCCAAAATGATTGCGTGGGATAATAAATACTGTGGTAGTCATTACCACACTATGATTTTAATTTGATGCATTGTAAAAAGTTTGTAAGCACGTCGGTATTCCAGGAAGAATGCAAGATATGTTTCATCCTAATGCCACATTCATCTGAATCTGTCATCCTAAGTGTACTTGTTCTCCTATCAGGGTACCCCAGCAGGCCTGGTGCGCTATAAAGTGAACCAGGAGGCTTTTCATTACTCTGCCAGTATATTTGACGTGGAGGAACAGACGGGAAATGTTGTAACCAGAGTTAACCTCAACGAAGAGCCCAACCTCAAGTTCAGTGTAAGTATGCACATGCACGTTTTACAATTTATAATTTACAACTCGCAGACATGCACCCTGTGATGGGGGGTTGCAAGTAGAAATTGCTTTGAATGAAAAACAACCCCTGTTGTATGCGGCATTTACGTGACTGCATAACTATGGTAGTTGGGTAAAACAAGATGTGATTTGAATTGAAGACATTATAAAACATGCACATCTGCAATGGAGTAAAACAGCAGTAGAAGATTGTCCTACAACGAAGATATTAACTTCCATCAAACTATAATGTATTCTGTGTATTATTAAAAATAACCATGGTGCAGTGAGTCTACTGTTTATCATAATGGAAATATGCAGCATCACTTAATGTTATCCCCAATCAATCAAATTGATCTATTCTAACTGTAAACTCTGGCACTGGGACTGTAGTTCAATGGAGACATCATTGCTGCAGATGTATGTGATGCTTCCCTGTTTTGCTTTAGTTTTAGCATATTTTAGATTTAGTCGGTGGAGGATTGGGACCACATCACACGAATTAAGTCTTTAGAAATGAATTTGATGATTTTGTACATGCAGATTGTACTTGCTTTCTTGTGTTATTTGTAAAGCATAAAGGTGTCTTTGTACAGAGCACTCTTATAAATCCCTATCCGCTGTACAAAGTATACCGCAGCAGCTTATTAGTTTCAAAATTGCCTTTTCCCAGCTGCACTCCTCAATGGGGCTTTGGGCCATTCTCATTTCATCTTTTCACTGGGCTTTAATTAACACAACAAGGATTCAGCGTCCCCTGAAGATGTCACTCAGGGGCCTAATTTTACCTCGTTTGGCTTAAACAAAATGAATCAGTCCAACACTGTGTACAATTTTGGGATTATTACCGAGATAAACACTGTCCAAGGTATAATCTTTACGACGACAGATGACACAGTTAGACAATGAATTTGATATGTTGCAAATGTCTACCTAATTTCCTTGCATCACATTATAATGGCACCACAGTGTATTTTCATAAAATGTCTTTGGAGCAGCTTGGCATGCATAAGCAAGTGCGCAAGGCTAGGAACAGGTTTGTAAATAAAAAGAAACCCATTTACATATTCAGTGCAGTTGAAAGGAAGTCATTATGCTATTGAGCAAGGCCCTTAACTACCACATGTTTCCAGCAATGCAATGCATTATCAGTCGCAATTTCCTGGCTAAATAATATCTTGATATTTAAATTTGGCCTTCATTAGGAGTCCTTTGGGCCTGGTTAACAGTAGTTACCCCCCCAATTAAATAAAGAAGAAAGGCTAAGAAGTAAAAATAAGCACACCAGCGGGACACACACTCATCCTGTTCTCCTATTCCCATGCACATTATGTGCTTTTAGAATGCGGGCAGCAAAAATGTAGACATTCATTTTGGTTTATTATCAGCCTGTCATGCATTAGCTGCATCGATTTGTTTGGCTGTCTCTGCTGTCTGCACACTGTAAAATGGTGTGAACTGGTATATTTGCAATGCCACAAGAGCCGTGGCAGCACTGGACTGCAATATTGCAAGCGAGCATGTGGATATCTACTGACTCTTAACCTGTGTGTGTGTGTGTGTGTGTGTGTGTGTGTGTGTGTGTGTGTGTGTGTGTGTGTGTGTGTGTATTTGATTGACAGCTGGTGGTGGTGGCCTATGATGATGGTGAGCCAGTAAAGGAAAACACAACTCTAGTAGAGATCACAGTCCTTCAGCCCTCTGTCATTCCTGTGTTCACACAGGAAGAATACAGGTACGCACACACACAGAGTACATGCTATTTTCTATGCCTCTGTACTGGCGACAGCCACGATTGGAGGTATTATGTTTTGCAGTTGTCTGCCATTCCATTCACTCGATATCTCAGAAACGCATGGAGGGAATATCTTCAAATGTTGCGCTAACGTCGACTTTGACTTAAGAATTAACTGATTTGATTTTGGTGGTCAAAGGTCACATTTTTTGCGATAACTCAATAATGAATAGGCTTATTATGAGAATTTCACACAAATGCCTGAAAGGATAATAACTATGAAGTGATGACATTTTGGACAGAAACAGTGGAAACTGCAACTTGACTGTTTGGCGCAGAGGTGGCAATTCATAGTTTGAAGTTATAATCCTCAGAATTTAAATTCTGGTTGATTTGATTCTGGCAACAACTGCTGTAACTGGTGATAGCATTAAGAACATCATAGTACAAACACCAGAGGCCTGTTGGAATTACACAGTTATGGATCCCTGGCGGCAGGAAGTGCCGTTTGTGCAGCTACTCTGTTGACACTGAACCCCAAGTTGCTTCCGGCCATTTCACAGCAGCCCACTGCTCCTACAAATGTTTAGGATGGCTTTAATGCAGAGGACAAATCTCAGTACCAGATGGCAGACTCCGCCACTAACAACACAAACTACTATATAGAGAGGTAACTAACAATAAATAAACATTTAAGTAGTGTAAAAATAAGGTTTATGCGATGGAAACCTGAATAATTATGACTTACATGCAGAATTTTTCCATCTACTTATATTTGCCGTTCATGCACCCATGTAAACGGTGACATGTAGGAAGAGATCTTGCTATAAAGCTCAGTTTTGAAAGCGCTTTTCTGACCCAAAAAAGGAAAGAATGTCTGGCTACCTGGACGTTTGTCTGTAGAAGTTGCAAATTACCAATGAAACGCTAATACAGCTCGGGCTGATATCACACACTCCGTCAGAGTTTATACTCGTCTTCTAAATAAATAAATAAATAATTTCGATAGTGGGACATTCATCTCAATTCAAGACAACCAAATAATGATTAAAAAATGCATCTGAAGTTTTGGATTGTATCCAGTCGCTGACAGAGGATTTGTTTTTAATCTGGCAACATAGTAAATGGCATTAATATAGGTGTAATTAAATATGGAGAAGAATGTTTAACATTCAAAGAACAGAATATATTTACATTAACCTTTCCCTAATGAATGAACGCAACGAGCACTTAATATGGTTCTACCACATTTATAGCACAACCATGCCAAATCACAGTACAGGGCAGTAGATGGAAACAGAAGGTGCTAAGTCTGAACAGCACGGTCTTTGCTCGCCTAATTCAGTTTTGATTACAACTCAAAGTATGTGCTTTAGTGTAAGAAGATTCCAGAAAAGGATGAAAGTAAAATGTAGGAACTTTTTGAAGTTTGTTTTCATAATAGAAATCCCAAAACTCCAAGTCAAAACAAATATGCACAGTAGCACCAACTCTGAGGGGTAGCAGCATGCTTTTCACCGTCTGCTGGAAAATCATTGAAAGAAGCAGAAACTCAATATAAAGCAAGTATAAGGGGACAGTGTGCGGCCCTATCCTCCATGCTAACCATTGGTCTGTCTATGACCCACCATCACTGGTTTTTGGGCTGGCTTCTCAGTTCCTTTGCGCACGTTAGTGTGTTTTGAATTTTGCAAAAATGGCCAACTGTGCCCCCGGCAGTGGGAAAGCATATAGAGAGCTGTTTAGAAAACGAGAATACATAACTCTCACCTCACGTGCAGACACATAAACACTCTCAAGTCATCATTATAACTCTTCCAGTTGGTGCTGCTTTTATGAGGTCATTGGTTCCCTCAGGTTTTCTGTTCTGTGATTGGCTGGATAGACAGAGGGTGTGTGTGTGAGATCAGATGTGAAATTGGCCTATAATCTACAGCTATTAGCTCTCATTTCTTTATCTTTCATTAAATACATGAACTTTGTTGTTATTTACTCTTTCTGGCATTCTTTATCCTGATGTGTTTTTTCCGCATCCCACTAGCTTCTAATTTCATGTTCCTCCTGCCACCCTTGTTATTATCAGCCCCTCTCTACATCTATTTGTCCCCAACAGTGACAGAGGGAAACAATTGGTTTCCTTCCATTTGCCTGCTTGTTATGTCGTCTGTCAGGCACAATATCCAAGTCATCAGACTTTAAATTGCAGGAGAGGATGAAACATCATATTTTTCGAAATGGCTGATTGACTCAATAGTTGGACCCTGTTTCCTGCTCAAAACATAATGAGCTTTTTGTGACGGCTTGTTTGTTTGTTAGAGGGATAGCATTAGTTTTGTGTCATTCTTTTATTTCCGCTCGCAGGTTTTGTTTACTTTTTTTGTTTAAGTTCTTCTTGTTCCTCTCCTCTCGTCTACCTTCATCACAAGTCAGAGAATTTCACAATTGTATGTGTTTCGGCATTTACTGTGATGTAACTCACTTTCATATACAAGAATCACCCAGCTTTTTAGTGGACGTCATAGGAGAAATGTGTCTTTACTTAAATTTCAGTTTGCATCTTTCTTTTTTAAAACACCTGAGCATCATAAGTTCTAAGACAATGAGCTTGTTTTGGAGTAATTGCAACTTCAGTGTCAATACAGAAATACAGTATTATCCCACTATTACTGACAACATTTCAAGGTTTGTCTTTCACACAGAGCACACGAAAGCTCCCCTCTATTTTTTGGAACAGGGTTAGAGGCAAGAAAGAGATATGTCAGCCAGCCATATAATACTGCATTTATGAATATGTAACATAGCTTCAAGCTGAAAGTGTGTGTGTGTGCCTGCCTGTCTATATGTGCAGGTTGTAGAATATGTGTGTATTTGTATTTTATTGTATTTGTTAAAGGGAAACTTAGTCGATCTTCAACTGGCTTTGTGTCGTTGCAATGTGGTTTGTTTGTGCAAATGGACGATGTTTGGATTCCCTCTGTGTTTCCGGCTCCCAGAGCTTCCTGCATATTTGCAGACGGGGAGAAATTAGACATTTTACGTCTTCTGGCTGATTTTTGCCGGCGGGTGAGCGGTAGGTTCTTGGTGCTGGCAGCGTGGAGGGAGGTTGCAAATTGTTCATTTGCATGCCCGCATTGTAGTGATACAAAGCTGGTTGAAAATCTGCAATGTTTCCCTTTAATCAACACATTTTTGTGCACTGTGGATGTCCCTTTCTGTGTGTTTTGCATGTCTCTCTGCCTGCATGTGTGCCTTATATTTTACATTTCTGTGCCTGTATTTTTGTGTTTGCGTGTGTGTATGAGAAATTGTGTTTTTTTTTTTGTTCTTCTAATTCCATGTTGTCGTCACTAAAAGCACAGTGTATGTACAGCTTTCAATTAATTAACCCAGCTTTATTGAATCAGAGCTAATTGTAGTGTGGTTTTAGGAGCTTACTAATGCTCTTTAATGATTTTGTATGGTTTCAACAGACAGACTTCTACCCATGGGTAAGGCAGAATTAGTAATATTAATTCCTTTAATTAAAAGAGTGACGGAATCAAGGGATCTGTTAAAGGCTGTGAACATTTAACGTTCATCACAACAGATTATATAAAATTACAAATGGCTTTATGGATCCAAAATTAGTTATCTGCACACGCCTAAACTTTGAAAAGCACCTTGTCTGTGGCTTTATTTACAGTATAAAGGGCATGTTAGGTAAAACCCACTCTGTGCTCAATTTACTGTAGGTTAACCTAAGGACAATATATGCACAACAAAATCCTGTCAGGCTTATCTGAGGGTATCAGAGACAGAAGGTAGCAAACTGACAGTGTCACGTAGAAAAACATGAAGCCATGAGATGTGAAATTCTATATGCAGTTTCGGCTTCAATAGAGGAGAGGAGGATGGCCATTCAACCGCAAAACTTGAACATTCAATAACATTTGTTGATGGAAGCCCCCACTGACCCAGCTATCCTCATGAGGAGAACTTTCCTTAGTCCTGATGGCCAGACCAACCAACCAATCTTGTGAGAGGCTGTCAAAGAAAGATATTTCTAAACGCGTACTGTTACATCAGTATGACTCCAGCAAACTGTATTTGAAATGAAACAGCTTAGCGTAAAGTGCTGACTCTCAGCTTCAAGTGTGTTCTTGGTTGTTCATATCCATATGTTGTTCATATCCATATGAACATATACACCGCTATATGTAGCGGTGTAGGACAAAGTTGTGCCTCAGGGGCATGTATAAAAAGGTCTACAATTTCCTTCACTGGTCATAGAATGACGACAGCTGAAAGTCAGCACTTTAACCTTCTGTGGTCAATGTTTCATCTCAAATCCAATGAACTGCCGTACAAAAAGAACACCGTCTCTATACTTACAGACTGTACACAGCGAGAAGTCCACAGATTGGCAATTTGTTATGCAGTTTATCAACTCGCCTTGCCTTAATAGTCAATATCATATGGTAGACACTATTCAATACATTTGGATCTACTTCTTTAATAATATATAAAGATATGTTTGCATACTGCAAAGAAGATGTTATGTACTTTAGGTTATATTAACATTTTTGAGTTCTGAAAAAAAAAATTCTTCATGGCTGTGTGTATATGTTGAGATACAGATGCACAAGCACACAAAGATGCACTTTTGCACACGCGCGCACACACACACACACGCGCACACAGTGCACTAGGACTTAAGCTTTGGCACTGGGACCTGCTGTTTGTGCATTTCCCCTCTGTGGGTGTCTCAGCTAGTAAAACTGAACAAGCTGATGAGGGGGTTTGCTAAATTATTGTAGCAAATGTGTGTAGAGCAGGATGTCTCCCTCACTCTCTCTCTCGCTGTCTCTATCTCTGTCTCTGTCTCTCTCTCTCTCTCTGTCTCTGTGTTTCTCTCACTGTAGGACCATTCTTGCACCTGCAGAATTAGTATGCAGTCAGTATCACATGCGCATGAATAGTTATCAGCACCCAGTGGCAATTATCAGCATGAGGTTAAGTGA